GCCACCAAAATAAAAGCTCAGATGACAAAGAATGTGTTTTTGTGTGCTTGTTTTGTTTCAGGATGACACTGTGGACCTCAGACACATCTACTTCAATATGGCAGCCCTTATCGGACATGTGGACGAGATCTCTCTGTTTCACTCTGCTTTCGCTGTAAGTTCTGCTCTCTTAGATTCATATTTCGAGCAGACCTCTTGTTTTTGTCGGTGATGACACAGCCTTCTTGTGTTGCAGGCGTTCGACAGAGAGGGCAGAGGCAGTCTGACTAAAGAGGAGCTGACGGAGCTCATGGGAGCACTGCTGGGTGTTCCTCAGCAGAGCACCGAGGAGCTCTACGACACTGCCACCGAGGACCAGGAGCAGCTCACTGAAGGTGAGAGTCAAACGGCGAACCAGCTGCTGACGGCACATCGCTGTGCAGCCGCTGGAGATTATAGAGCTGCGTGTTAGCGTCGTTGCATACAAACTACAAACTCGTGGCGAGTGTGAGGATTAGCGAAAAAGGTGCAGACACAGGAAGTTTTAGCCGCTTGTTAAGTGATGAAGCATCGACCTTGCTCGGTTGAGGCTAATATCTGCTTTAACATGTTGCAGTGTATTGTGTTTTATTTTATTTAAATAAGCCCCTAAAAATAATCAGTGGTCACTGTGGGCTTCTCTGGCTGGTTATTAGCACCGTTTATGTGCAGCACATCTTTAAGCTCAGTGTTTAAAGGCTTACAAGGTTCACGGGTCACCAGACGCATAAGTGAGTGCCCCATAAAAGAATCACTCTGAGTCTGCCTAAGATTTCAGTGGCTACATGAAGCAGAGGATCAGGACGTTTTGATAGCCAGTAATACAAACCACACAGCAGCATATTACTTACTAACCTTGTGTTGTGGATCGATCCTCTCAGCTGTTCTCCTGACTGTTTACCATATGATTTCATTTGTCTCTGCCCATCAGGGACCTTCACATTGATTTTTATTGAGGGGAAAACACTCATGCTCCAGCTTCACTGTGCTAATGTGTTTATATTACCCTAACCATAGCCTGTAGCTAGCCACCAGGCAGTGCACTGTTATGCTGCAGTGTTTGAGCTTAGGAACCAAACAAGAGTTTGGACTCACTAACAACTAATCGTGTCAGAAAAACACGGGATAACAAAAACTTTGAAACCACAAACTGGAATATTGAGGCTGAATTTCCAACTGAATTTCGTGTTTCCAATGGGAATAATGCACGCTGACATAGCTAAAGTCAAGTCCTACCTGTGCAGGAACGATCTAGAAAGGGTGGTCCATGCTTTTATTACATCACGGCTGGACTACTGTAACTCCCTTTATGCTGGTTTAGATCGTTCCTGTCTGCATCGCCTCCA